GATGTGCCCTCAGCTTGCGAGACAGCGGTACGAGTAATTAGCTGGTATACGTTTGGTAGTGGCACCATGGTCTAAGACGTCAATGGACTGGCCTGTTTACCAATGCTTTCCCTTCTGCAGGTCGCATCGCCGTGTCTGAACAGACGTTCATTTTCGTCATTGTCAACTTGCGCATGGAGCTTGAAGCAGCATGTTTCAACAGCGGTATGGAGCGGTGCATGAGAGTTTTGAGGCCACGGTCATCAGATCCCCCTCAGCTTCGGGGAGTGAGAAAGGCTGATTGACGAGTCATTGAACACTGAAACCTGATTGGACCAGGTCAGCTGCTGTAGAGCCGTCTGCGTGAAAGAATGTGGCTAGCCTTCTCTCAGCAAGCAAAGCTTCAGCAAAGCTGGTTAGTCAGCTGTGAGTGTTCTTGTATCATATATCGTTCCTCGATGTTAGTCAGCGGTACTCGTAGTGAGTTTGGCCGTGTGTTTTTCATGAGCTTGTGTCAGGCATCCCTGCCAATCTGCATCGAGCCGCCAGTGGAAAGCTTCCGCAGGGCAGGAAGCAGAACACGAAGGATCAGCCTCATCGCCCGAAGGGCGGCCAACGGACCAAAGAGGCGAAGGCCAGGGCTAGGAGCTGAGCATTTGAATGAATGTTTGCTGGTAAGAGATCGGGGCCCACACACATCCTGGATTGCAGTCTGGCCAACATGGCACAGACGGCTCTTTTCCTTGGTTTTTGTTTCCACGTTGTGATCGCTTGCCGTCGCTTGGACAGATTCGTAGCCGTCATCGTGTTGCAGTGTTCCGTGTCAGGCTTCCTGCGGCGATGAAGTCCAGCGGCGCTCGCAAGCCAGGATTCCCAAAGCTGCCTGCAGAGGCTCGCTCAGGCATTTTCATAGTTGTTCATCTTCAGTCCTTGCAGCTGTTCCAGCTGCCTGTACTGCTGGTGAGTAGCGAGATGTTTCTGCAAGCGGGAAGACGACGCTTGAAGGACCTCCAGTCTCGGCGAGGTCTCAGAGAGAACCAGGCTACAGCAGGGCTTTTGTGACTCGGCTCGTCTGTGGCTCTGCCTCCGTTCGATTTGGCCAGTCCGGGTGGCCGAGCCTTCGCGGGAGGCGAAGAGCTTGAGTCCCAAAAGGCCAGCGTTCCGCGCCCATCACAGCCCAAGCTCAGCTAGACGTCCTTTGTCTCAAGGACCCTTTGCTGCGCGCCTGCGCAGCCAAGGCCTCGGTGTTCGCCCTGCCCAGGCAGGGAGACTCGGCGACGTTCCCACCTGCACGGACTCCCGGAGCGTCCAAAAAGATTCGCAGGTCAGCGGAGTCCGCAGCCGGCGAACTGGCTGCCTGGAAGACGCCAGGTCGGTGCAGTGCAATAGGTCTCGTAAGAGGAAACGTGGGGACACAATGCGGAGGTTGGTGCCCCGATTGATCTCCCGAGACAGCCGGTGACCAAACGACAACCTGTTTCCTACTGCGTTCTTGAGCCTCCGACGCATGCTGATCACAACTTTCAATCAAGGTCTGTGCGAACTCGCCTGCAGGGGCGAATGGCGACGACAGCATCACACACAGGCCAATTAACACGTCATGATGTCCCGAGAATCAGTGAAACGAGGAACGTGGCATGCACACTTGGTGGAGTGTTAGCTTCATGAAGGTGCTGCCAGAGGTTGGAGCCCAGACAAGGCCAATTTGAGACCAGCCGAGTCTGGCATGATTTCTTGTGATTTCAGGGTGCTTGTGGATTGATTGCGCTACTCTTTTTTCCACAACGAAGCAGCAATCTTTGTTTGGGCGAGGAGCCAACCCCTGAATGGAATGACCCCCAAGTTAGAACAAGCGCCAGCTGCAGCTGTTTACACTTGCTCAAGTGGTGAGCTTGATGCAACAACTGGCAGAAAGTGCGAACACCCGACAGCATTCATGGATCTTGATATTAGACACGGAAGCCCAGACAGAATGCTCAGATTAGCATCGCGATGCGGTTCCGTTTCTGCGAAGCTCTTCGCACCCCTGCCGTGTCCTGTCTTATTTAGACCGCGGAGACTGTGACTCTGCCTGTTCGACGCTGTGTCCAATTCCCAAAACCAAGCAGCACTAGTTTCTGGGACATCGATGTGGGTACTTGACTGCTTGGATATGGTTGTCAGTTTTGTTACAGTTGATGCTGAATTGCGTTCGCTCATCGCTCAATGCTTCTGCAGCCACTGCCACAAATCCTGTTGCCATAATCTTGAACGCAACCGAGCCTTCAATGAGCACAGCCGCTTGACCCTGTGCAGCCCAGCTCCTGATTGAACAGGTTGCGTGCTCCTCGGATGAGCAGAGTATTTCCTCGATGCAAAGCCACAGCGGCGCTCGAGACACCTTTTGCTGATGCAGGCGTCTCGTTCTTCAGACGTTTATCCGCGTGAACCTGGAAGAAGCATAGAAGCATCGAACTGCCTCAGGTACGAGCAGCTCGGCTGTCGCCGGGGAGCTTGTGACTCCGGGTTGGGAGCGCACTGTGGGACTTTGGCTGGCGGGGTGGCTCGATTCAAGACGGATGATCCTGATGACGACGTCTCCAAAACGGCCTTTCTTTCTTTCTTTCTTCTTTCTTTTTCGTGCTTTCTTTCTGTCTTTCTTTATTATTTTTATTTTCATTTTTTGAAATTTATGTATTTCTTTCTTTCTTTCTTTATTTATTTTTCTTTCTATTGGTTTCTTCTTGTTTTCTTTTTATTTTTGTTCTTCCTCTTTCTTTCTTTCTTTCTTTCTCTGTCTGTCTGTCTGTCTGTCTGTCTGCCTGTCTGTCAGTCAGTCAGTCCGTCAGTCAGTCTGTCTGTCTGTCTCTGTCTCTGTCTGTGTCTGTGTCTGTGTCTGTGTCTGTGTCTGTGTCTGTGTCTGTGTCTGTGTGTGTCTGTCTGTCTGTCTGTCTGTCTGTCTGTCTGTCTGTCTGTCTGTCTGTCTGTCTGTCTGTCTG